AAAGGAAAAAGAAGAGAAAAGAGGCAGGAAGAAGGAGAGAAAGAGGAAGTCGAGAGAGAGGGAAAGGGGAATGCATGCTCTCGACCGTGGAATCCTTCATCTCCGAGGGCTCGAACCTCCAACTCCTGTTGCTTATCATCCTTTCTCACCTGTATGCGTGCGCGCGCGCGCGTGTGTGTGTGTGTGTGTGTGTGTGTGTGTGTGTGTGTGTGTGTGTGTGTGTGTGTGTGTGTGTGTGTAGCATGTGTGTGTAACATGCGCTTCACATTAGCACGACACGTCATACTCATGCTACTCTGACTAAAAAACGTCGGCACACCGTGAGCAAAAGTCAAGACGTGGGAGGCGATCTTCCAACGCGGTGGGGTAAAGTCATTTCTAGGTTCGCTAGTGGCGAGGGCAATAATGGGGCCGTTTATCGGTTGAAGTTGGCCACTCTTCGCGTTTAGATGGCGAATCGAGGTGAAGGGGGGTAGGGGTGCTTCGCACTTCAGTGGGGCAAAAAACTCATCCCGCAGAAAAAAGCATGAAAGCATGCGACAGGTTGAAATGACAAGGCAATTTACTATATCTAAAGCGCCACCACACGCCTCGTCGAGGCATTCCATTTTCCAACCCCATCAATAAGATAAGCATTTAATGATAGACTGCCGTAAGCACAGATTTCATAAGGATACCTACACCAAAAAACAGCATCCTGCATAGTTGAAAAGAAGGAAAAGCACTGAGGTTTCAAAAGGCGAGAGCAGGCAAAAGGAAAGATTGATCTCCAGCAGAACATACGTTAGTGATGATTATCCACAAGCTATATCCCAAACACAATCAAACGATGCATAGAGACATTCCAACTGAGAAGATCGTAGCAGAAAACGGCAATCCATGCGATTGAGTGAATGATGACGTAGAGAGATGGAGAGAGGCGAGGAGAGGGGTAGAAAAAAGTCGAAGGAGAAGAAGAGCTTTACACGAGGATAAAGTTCCAAGATAGCAAACAAATCCTTATTAAAACCGTTCAATCAACAACGAGCACACCGCTTCTCCCTGATCCATTGCTGTCGAAACCTCACGCGATCCCATTAGGGAAGAGGAAAGGGCCGGGGAGTAGAGAGGACAGGCGAGAGAGGAGGGGGGAGGGGGGAGGGGGGAGGGGAGAAGGGGGGAAGGGCAAATCCCGCTTCAGCTCTATCCTCCAGACCCGGCGCATTCTGCATCTGCGGGGATCATCTCGCCAAATTGCGGGAAGGGCGTGGCAACTCCCTAAAGCGCTTTTCTGCCCCATGCCATGTGGGGCGTCATCAGAGGGAGGGACATCTTCCATGGTCTTTGGAAGGTGGGGGGGATGGGGATGTGGGGTTACGAAGGGTGGTGCAACGAGACAGGGGGGGTGGAGGGGCGTGGGTTTGAGCGAGGGGGAGTGGGGTGGGGAGGGGGGGGGGGGGGTTTGATCGCAGAGGGGTACGGAAGGGAATGGAGGAAGTAAAGGAAGGAGAGGAAGGAGAGGAACGTGAGGAAGGCCAAAAAGGTGCAGGTCGAGGTCTCCGCTGCCGATCTGTGCTCCATCGCCCTTCGCTGTCGCAGCAACACTATCGAGCTTAATGAGTCCGCAATCCTCCAGCGCCTATGATGAAGAACAGGCAGCAGCAGCTGGCAAGAAAAAGGGTTGCGAAGCAAATGGTGCCGCCGAGCAGGAACGCAAAGCCCCTCGCCGATAGTCGGAGAAAAACTCTCTTGGACAGGCAGGCAGCAAACAAAGCACAGGCTATGGCGAGGTTGGGTATCAGGGCGAGGAGGAGGAGAAGCAGGAACGCGATGTTCCGAGCAGGGGCGGGCGCTAAGTTGGACGGGCTGGGTTCGGCGGGGCAGGAGGGGGCAGGCTGCATAGTGCTTGGTCTGGAGTGCTCAGGTACCGGGGTACGACAAAAGGACCAAGAGAATGTCGCTTCACAGTGTCGTTAGCACTTCTTCCTCCTCCCTCTGCTCATCCTATAGGTCCCAGTCGGCAAAAAAGTCCATGTCGCCCGCCGCTTCGTCTATTCCCCACGCAGTCCCCAACAAACCGACCGCACCGCTAATCGCGAAAGTCGTCGATTCGTGTGTCAGCTTGATGAATAGAACACTCTGTGTTCTGTTTTGATATAGTCCCGAAGCATGCCCAACACCCGCAGCCTTCCGATGCAAGCTATCGTTCCTATCCCACTATTCCTACAGACTTATCGGATGGTCACGAAAAAAAGCAAGAAAAAAGAAAAAAAGGAAAAAAGGAAAAAGGAAAAAAGGAAGGGGGGAGGGGGGAGGGGGGAGGGGAGGGGGGAACAAGGGACACCAGGGGTGACCCAGTCCAAGAGCCAAGACCCAGCTGAGGCCTGCCTACGCTGCCCAGGGCTCGTGTATTATTCGAGGCCCGCCCATATTTGTCAAGATCCGAGAGCGAGCCGTTCTCGAAATCCATGGTTGGTCGAATCCCGCTGCCCAGGATTTTATTCGGTGTTTTCCTTCAGTGTTTTATTCGGGGGGTCGGGACCATGCTAGGTTTGCCCAATCAGAAAGGAAAGAGGCGGGAGAAGAAACGGAGGGGAGAAAGAAAAAAGAAAAAAGAAGAAAGAAAAAAGAAAAAAGAAAAAAAGGAAAAAGGAAGAGGAAGAAAGAAGAAAGAAAAAAGGAAGAAAAAGAAAAAAGAAAAAAGAAAAAAGAAAAAAAGAACAAAGACAGGAAAGGGGAAAGGGAGGAGGGGAAGAAAAAACGGGGATGAGAAGTGGTGGTCCGAAGGGCCAGAGGGGCTAATGAGCCGTCCACCCTTCCCAGTGCCCATGACGCGAGTCGAGAGGGAAGGGTGCCCGCCCATCCGTCTTCCATCGATTCTCCTCTTCCTCTCTTCGCCCTATACGTGTGTGTGTGTGTGTGTCCCACCCCGATCCCTCCGGGGGATAACATGGCCCGAGGGGGCGGTTGTCCGGAGAACAATCGGCCATCTCGGCCCAGTCGTCCCCCGGACACTAGCCACACACACATGCACATCCACAGACACAGACACGCAGCCTGAACCCAGAGTTAGTCAGAGAACCCAAACATGCGTGTGAGTGCCTCCCTAACTGTGTGCACAGAGACTCGTCCAGGCTGATAGCGGTACGCGTTGCGCAGTGTCTTCCTCACCACCCGCCACCAGGCGTCCCCTGCGAGACCATTGCTCCTCATTGCAGCCACCACTTTGTTAATTTGCACGGCTGCGTCATCCGGTTCTGAGCACAGAAGAAGGATCTGCGCAACCTGGGCGGTAATAATCTGCAGCGCCTGCTTGGCGCTCCTGTTGGACTTGTACTTCATGAACCTGCAGGGAGTAAATCCCAGCCCCTCGCGCTTGTCATGTCTGGAAGTGATATAAGCCCCAGTCTTCGGTGAGGTGATCGTGATGGTGGCGCTGAGAAAATTGGCCCTCCGTCCGCATCCATCCTCGGTGACCTCAGTATTCTCCTTTATTTCGATGTATTCATCCGGGTAGATCCAGCATGGATCGCTCTCCTCCTTGTCCTCCTTCGTCCGTATGAAGCTGCTGATGATGGTGTTGTTGATGGCGCCCAAGTCGTCGATGTAAGTGTCTGAGAAGAACGGAATCAGGTGTGCATTGCCCGTATCCGCCAGTCTCATCATGGCGTGAAATTCGTACTTGAAGAAGTAAACGTCGCACCAGATGGGGGAGCAGGCTAGACCCATAGGTATGCCTCTGACCTGCCTCCACACGAAGTCGCCCATGCGCAAAAGACTATTGGAAATGCACCACTCCGAGAGCCAGAAAATGTCGTGCTCCTTGAATATCATGGAGCCTGGTTCTTCCACCTGCTCAGCGTCTACCCATGAGGGCCAAAACTTGCCGCTTGCCCCGAGCTGAATCTGAATGGAGTGGCATGAGCTTCTTTCCCTCTGCATTTGCATCGCGCATTGCACATAGAATCTGACGGCGGCCGACAGGCTATCCTCCGAGCTGTCCGTGGGGATCATCTCGAAGCATCTAGTGATATCCGCCGTGAAGATAGAGTAGATTTTATCTGGTAGGTTCGCGCAGAACTCCCCGACCGATGCTGTAGCTCACCACAGGTTCGACTTCACTCCATGCCGCACTTCCACTTCCAGGCTTCTTTACTCGCAGAACGTCTGCACCAAGGGGAGAAGAAATCGAAGCAGGCATGCGCACAATTCTGCCGCAGGGGAGACCACGGTCTCTGCAGTGTTCGTAATCCATCGAAACGTTCTCTTCTGCGCCTTGAAGACCGCCATCAGGAACGGGAGCGCAGCAGGGGCATTCGGTAACACATGCAGGGCCGAGAGCTCGCCTTGTATTCTTGCGATGGCAGAAGCGGGGGAGGTGGCGACGCTTACGAATTCAGGTCGAGTCAGCCTCTGAAAGGCGAGCTTCCGAATGAAGTTTTTGCACACGACGGTAGGAGTGTTCGGAGCTTTATCTGTCGGACAGATGAGAAAGCGTCCAGTAAGGAACTCCACCTCCCGTTTGACTGCCGGATGCTCGAATGGCTCGACGGATACGTGTTGATGCTGCTCCGTGTATTTGATCATCTTTGTCTTCGCCTTCTTCAGGATCAACCTTTGTAGAAAGGACTGGGTGGATGCCGTTAGCTCCCATAGCTCCATTACCTCCGCCATGAGCTTGTCGAGAAAGACGCCCAACTCATTCTGCACCTCCTCTATGTCCAGGGACATGCAGGGGATGTGGTTCAACCCGGCCTTGATGATGCCCTGGAGCAGAGGGTTGTCCGTGATCGAAGAGTCCAGTGTGATCACGTGCATCTGTCCTTCGCACTGGAGCAGTTCTATCGAGGCTTGGGTGCACATGTCCATGTATCTGCGCGATCTGCATGGACACTGCCCCGGATCATATGCTTCCATCCATTGCGCCACATCGAAGTCGCATAACACCTCCGCAGGCCTGCATAGTCTGGATGCAATATTAGAGTTGTAGGTCCAGCCGATCACGGTGCGCTCCAGCCAGGTAGTCGTGTCATCGCCCACAATCCTTGCTAGTACTTCGTTGATCATCTTCCTGACGAATAGAGGCTCCATTATCCTGCTGGTGTACCTTAGATGAAGGAACGTATCACAGTCCGGTCTCTGCCTCCTCCATGATCTTTGGTCGGACGGTAATGTGGTCATCTGCCCTGGGGCGCTGATGCTGGTGCCTGGATCCTGCGCTCAAGGGTCATAATTACAGGACATGGGTTGTGCCGGATGGGGTAGTGAACCCCAAAGATCGAAAGGGATGACGGGGAGCACCGGGGAGGGAGATCAGAAGGGAGGGGAGGGGGGGAGAGAGAGAGAAAAAAAGGAGAACAAAGTAAAACAGGAAAGACCGGAAAAATAGAAAAACTAGGAAATAGGAGTCATGACCCTTTCTCTGCGTGTGGGGTCAAGCACGTGTAGGTCGCGTGTTGGTGGCGGTACCAGTCCTGGTATTGCCCCTGCCTCTTGCGCCTTTCTTCTTGCCTTTCCCGGTCTGCGTGAGCGTCGACCGTGCCGAGCCCTCAGGCGAGAGAAGGATGACGGGTGGTGGGGTTAGTCCTCTGATCACCTGTTGCGGGAGCGGGGTGGTAAGGGTTTGATTCCCCGCCATTTGCAGAGGTGCGGCAAGTGGGTTTGCCGTAGGTATACCGCGGAGGTGATCATTGCCACCGTTCCGTTGTAACCCGATGACCAATATCGTGGTTTGCAACTGCGTAGGGGCGATCGAAGGGGGA